ACAAATTTCAGAGTACGTCTATGTTTCCCTTCTTTCCTTGATACTTGATGTTAATAAATGGCAAAAAATTTGTGATGTAATAGTAATTTTTAACGGATTAGAGGATTTACAAAATGTTTTTGCTGAATTTCTGGTTTCTGTGCTTTTCTCAATTGGTGATTGGTCTATATTTTAGGAATATGCATTATGTTCCTTGTAAATTCTTTCACGTTTCTTTCAAATATACTCATGTCTGTGGCACTGTCATCTTTCTTCATTCTTTATGTAAAGGAATCCATGCGAAAATATTTGCTTCCTCTGTACATTCTTGACTAAGTGCTTTATGTAAAGGCCATGCATTTTATACCTGGATGTTACTGTAACTGTACTTTCTTTGAGTTGTATGAATTAAATAAAAGAAAGTGAAGAAAGGAAACTAAAGTAGATAAAAATAAAACCCGATTAATGGAAGTATTTATGTTCTTCCATTCACATCCCTTTTCTCCTTTTCCTTGCCTCTAATTTCCTCGCCGCCAAATTCCTTGCTAGCTTAACCTGCTCATTACCTTCTATAATCAACCGCCTTAGTTTCATGAAATTAAACTAGAAATCATATTGATTTTTTCAAGGCATTTCCAACGAGTGGATTCTCATAATTGTTCCCAAATCTGCATTTTGTTGCTTGTTTTAAAAAATTGCATTAATATTTTACGCATTTTTCATTATGTTGCCGTTCATTCATCTTGGTTTCATATTCGGGCTAAGCAGGACTTATAATATGTGCTTTCATTGTTCACGATGTCTATAACATATTCTGCCTTGCTCGTGGGAGCTTAGGGAGAGAGCAATCTCGAATTTATTGGTTATTTTGGACTTTAGCTGTTGGTTAAAAAAAGAGGTCTCCTTGAATCATGTGTTAATATTAGTTCCTTCCTAACGTCGAGTGTCTCTTCATTGCACATATTGAGAGATTCTCTTTTACTTAAAATGGACTTTCTCCCACATCTTTGCCAATCAAAACGTATTACAGTAGCTTTTTGGTTAGATTACTAATTTCGGTTTGAAACAGGTGTATCTGTATGGTGGTCAGGTCACTTCTTGGAAGAATGAATATGGCGAAGAGTTGCTGTTTCTTAGTAGTAAGGTACCCCAGGTTATTCTGATTATTGCAGTACTCTTGATCTGCTATTCATCATTACAAATAATTTTGTTGTACCCATTCCATGATTCATTTAACATCTTCCTATTCTATGGGTGTGGAACTGAGCTCTGAATTCTTCTAGATGATTTTTCTTTGGAAAGCTATCCCTACCAACTGTTGTGTAATAACAGTAAAGCATGCTAATCTGTTTGCTGCAAAATTTGTAGATAGATTGCTCGGTCAAACTTATATGTTTGATTGCAGTGGCCTATTTGGGCCAATGGAATCTTCTTTCCTGCAAGAATAGGTAGATAGTTGAGCTTGCTGCTTTCATCATGCTTTGGTGATGAATATAATTTTCAATGCTCACAAAAAGAGGTTTAGTGTGCGATAACCTTCAGCTCGAGGAGTTATTTTGACATGCAACTATGGTATTTAAGTCTACTGGGAACTTTCCTGTGTTCCATTCTTTGAGATTGCAAAGACTCCATAGTTTTACCTTCTTAAAACAGTCGCAGAACTTATTATAGCGCAACTGACATCATTTGCCATGTGAAATCCATATTTGGATCCAGGCCTAAAATCTTGCTCCGTGTACAAGGGTGAGGAATCATCTATAGAATGCTCCTAATAAAGGAAGCATCTACAAGACAAACCTAGTTGAATCTTCAAGAAGTACTAATTTATGAATGCCGTGGTTGCTAAGATAAAAAAAGTACTAAGAACAACCAGAGAATATTTTGTGTTTTTTTTTGGATCTATCCTCACATATGCCTTGTTTAATGCAGTAACTTTTTGTATAAAATGATTTGGATACTGTTCCCCAAATTTGATACGGACTTAACATTTGTCTATCTTCTTTCGTGATGAAATTAGCATCAAATTCTTTGTTTTTCTGTTACAGTCTGGTTCATTAATTCTTTGGTTTATACACTGATCAAACCTCGGTGCTCCCCTATGAAGGTTTATATATTCTTCCATTGTTTTTGAAGCTTATATGCTTTATGCAGGCGATTTTTAAGCCTCCAAAGCCTATCCGTGGAGGTATCCCAATCTGCTTTCCTCAAGTACGCATTCCCTACTTTCTCATGTACCTTCCTTCTGTAGTTTCCAAATTTATTTTCTGTTTTGAAGTTAAGCATTCTGGACTTGCAGTTTGGGAGTCAGGGTTCTCTTGAACGGCATGGATTTGCACGGGACAGGTTTTGGAGTGTTGATCCTGATCCCCCACCTTTTCCAACAAATAGTGCAAACAAGGCTTTCATTGACTTAATCCTTAAGCACTCTGAAGAAGATGTGAAGGTTTGGCCTCACAGGTGCATGACTCAAACTTGACGATGAATTGGATCTTTTGGAAAAGAAATTAATTATATTCCAAAGTTTCCTGCCTTTTGGTCTGGAACCAACTGAGTCAGATGGGCACCCTGCACTTTGTAATTTATTGAACCACTATCTAGTTCAAGGAAATAAAATATATTAGAATTATTCTTTAAGAATTTTAAAAGAGTGCGTCAATCACTTTTGTGCATTTGTTGTTGTTCATTTGATATTATTACATCACAACGACCTGTAGGTATGAGTTTCGCATAAGGATAACTCTGGGACCCGGAGGAGATTTGATGTTGACATCCCGTATTCGAAACACAAACACTGACGGGAAGTCATTTACGTTCACATTTTCGTACCACACCTATTTTTATGTGACTGATATCAGGTTTCATGATTTAATTTTTTGTTCTTGTTGCTTTTAATTTTTCGCTGAGTACATTATTTATTCTTGTTGCTTTTAATTTTCCCCCTTCTATGATATTTGTCATATTGCAGTGATCTTCATTTTACTTACCCGAACAGAAAGAAATCTAAAAGTTTCTTCCTCTGTGGCTCCTTTCAGTTCTTTAGTCATTCTTCTTTCCCTTGCAAATTAACTAATAAATGTAGAGGTAGGTATAAAAAAGACAAACCAATAAGTGTAGGGTTAACAAAAAAATGGCCAAGAGCCTTCTTTCTTTTATTTTCTGTTAGAAACCCCATTTTTGTGAATATCTTTGCATCATAAGTTTCTTTGTTAGTCTTCAATTTACTAATTCCTTTCTTGTCATTTATGTTGTGTGATATTTGTTCCATTCTGTTTTGCACATTTCAGACAGTTTATTTATCTCCCATCACTTCCGATTCTAAAACCACATAGCATTGAAGGATTATTGGTGCTTTTTAAAATTATTTTTGATCTTATAATCAGTATGAAGGTATCATGTTGAGGTTTGACACTCAATACCATGTTACATGTGTCAAAAATTTTTGTGTGTGAAAATGTTGCAAAGTTTGTTGCAAAAGCTTGTGCTTCATTGTCTTCATAACTAATTGACATAGATGGTTTTTGGAGTTTATTCCTACCATATCTTTTTTTTTTTTTTTTTTTGACTTTTAAGGTGATTAACTTTTTTCTTATGAGAGAAAAAGAAATAACATTAACAGGCACCAAGGAAGTGCCACCCATTTACAGGAGATCTGGAGTCAAAGACCAAAATTTTTATAAGGTTCCTCAAATGTTCTTTTTTTTCCAATAGAAAAGAAGCATTATTAAGATGAAAATGAAATAATTACTAGTGTGGAGAATAAGTTATCCTCCCTGAACCTTTCTATTAGAAGGTTTGGAAAAGCATCATACAACCATAAAACAGGCATACACTCAACGCTGTTATTGGTAAAAAATGATCACCCCAAATGTCTGTGTAGCACTGAGAGCATAAGATACTCTCCATGGGCTTTTGTCCATAGGATACCAAAAAGATCATTTTGTTCCATAAATCTTGAATTGATAAAGATCTCAAAAATTGTCCTATTCCTTTCGAGCCAAATTGATCACAGTCCTACAAGGAGAGCCTCTTGGGAAAGGGATTTTGCCAAATTCCATTCTCCAGCTCCCTGGATATTAGTTCATAAAACACTCCATCAAGGGGGGTACTGTCTCGTTTAGCCTAAACAAATCAAACAATCGCACCCACAATCTCCATGTTATCATTGCAAAAACAAATGACTCTCTCACCATTATGGCAACACATAGGACAAATATCAAGAGCTTAACTAGGCCTACGTATTTGCGACAATTCATTAGTGTTGAGCCTTTTAAGAATCACCATGCATGCAAAGACCTTCATTTTAGAAGGAACCTTAATTTTTCGAAATGCATTGGCAAAGGGGATTTTCTAACAGCCTAAGTGGCAGGGAGGTTAGGAGTTGAGACTTTAGTAGAGATGAATTTGGCCTTTCAAGGGAAATGACTCTAGAGATTTATAAATGAAAATGGTACCCTCTCGTGGAGGTGATTGAGACGAAGTTTGGAACCATAGATAGAGAGTGGTAGACCAAACTATCGACTAGACTACATGACAAAAGAAATGTGGAAAAGAATATGCATGGGTAGGAATAAGTTCTAGGACTGTATCAAGTGGAGGGTTGGCATGGAGGACAGAGTTAGTTTCTGGCATGATGTTTGGTTAAGAGGGGGATCACTCAGGGAACAGTTCTCCATATCTATGATAATTGCATGATGCAAAAATATCTCAGTACACTCTCTACTGCTACAATCAACGAGAGTAACAACCAATATATCTGGGGACTCAATGTTAGAGGTTTCTTGGTCATCTCCTTCTATAATTATTTGACTAAAAATGATGCTATAGACACTAGTTTTCCTTTTCGACAAATCTCGAAGATTAACGCTTCAACTGGAGTTGACTTAATTTTCCATCAGAAGTTGGTCATGGGTGTATCCTCATTATTGACAAGCTAATGAGGTAGGGGAAAATATTGGTGAATAAATGTTTCTTATATAAAAAAGAGGCGGAGTCCTGTAATCATATTCTCCTTTGGTGCTTGTTTGTGTATAAATTGTGGATCTTGGTTTATGGGTTATTAGGGATCAGTTGGGTGATGGCTGGTTTCGGTGAGGGAAGAGATTTGGGCTTGAAAGGGCATTAATAGAGGGAAGAAACATGTGAGTTTCATTCTCCTTTGTTATCTTTTGGGTAGTGCGGAAAGAGAGGAATAAGAGAGTTTTTGAGAGGTTGGAAGACGACTTGGATAGGGTTAGAGATAAATGATTCCAGACCCTAAGTTTTTTTTCATTACAGATCATCCTCTTTACATAATGGAGGATTTTGAGAAACTTATTGATATTTTGATTGACATGTAAATATTTTTTATAAACGGACTCGTACCTTCTTGGTGCTTCTAAGGGAACGAATCCCACCATACTTTTTATCTCAAAAAAAGAGGGAGCTGATAACAATTATGGTCTTGGGTAAGACAGGTATAAATTTGAGAAGGTTCCATAAATCCTCTCATAGGAAACATAATACCCTGTTAGCAAAAGACTTAGAGAATGAAACCAATAATCTCTAAGTCCACTGAGAAAGGAGTGCAAATGCCCTCAAACTCTCTCTTATCTATTTCTCTCCATAATGACCCACAGAATTGACGTAAGAATGAGATTAAAGAAAATTTTCCTAGATTTACAAGCTTTAACGCCTGACCATGCTCAAAGTTCTCACGCAACATACCCTGCCCCAAGTATTTAAACAAAATATTTACTGAATATAATGTAGAACGAAAGTTTTTTGTTGATAAAAGCACGAGGAGTACATTTAGATTTGCTGAAGATTGTTCATGCTGCATTCTTTAACCATTTTCTGGCTTTTGATTATGTTCAGTGAAGTGCGGGTAGAAGGGCTAGAGACATTGGATTATCTTGATAACCTGAAAGATAAAGAGCGATTTACTGAACAAGGGGATGCAATAACATTTGAGTCGGAAGTTAGTTTTTGGTTCTTCATCAGAATGCATTATTATTATTATTTTCTATCATGATGCTTATATTGCTACTTATTCTAACATCTTTCATTACTTTCATTCTTTATATTGCAAAGGTGGACAAGATATATCTCAGTACACCTACTAAAATTGCTATTTTGGATCATGAAAGGAAGAGAACCTTTGTCTTGCGGAAGGATGGTCTTCCAGATGCAGGTGAGTAATTAAAGTT